ATCGATAGTCGCCAGCAGATCGGTATGAAACATGCTTCTTCTCTTTAATTTCATTTTATCATACGAATTTTTCTAATATAGCCGATTCATGGCCTCAAGTATTTGATGATCATAATGCTCGCGAACATTGGGGTTGGAAACCACAGGTCGATCTTGATGGGTTGGTTCGTCGAATGTTTAACTATCTAGAACAGTCCTCGGCCCAAATGCACTAATATTAGTTCCCGAACAACGAACTTCCGTAGATTTCTTTTTTCTTCTCATATCAACCAGACCCAACGATAAAGCTATTGGAAGTTAATTCGAAAATAAAGGATAGTGGTGGATATGCTAGCAAAATCGATTCTATTTCACAATTGTAAGAAAAGGGTTTGGGTGTGGGTGCGGGTGCGGGTGCGGGTGTGTGGGTGTGGGTGTGGGTGTGCGTATGGGTGTGGGTTCAGGTGTGGGTGTGGATTCGGGTCTGGATGCCAATCATCAGTACATTCACCACCGACACGCACACCCACACTTCACACCCCACACCCACACCCCACCCACACACCCGCACACACCCAAACCCATACACCCACACCCAGCAAGTATTTTACGATAATCCATGTGCACCTATTGTTGAATTTGTTCATTCAACCAATATTGATGAAGAAGATATGACGGATGGTTATAGATCTACCAATGATACTCTATTACATTCCAATTTCGTTTTGTAATCTTCGAAAAAAAAAGCAATACACTTGAATATATTTTTCTTTAATAGTAATTTTATTTGAAGATCTTGTTGAATCATTGGATAATACAATTAATGCTTGTTTTTCTGATCAACCAATAATTGAATCTACTATGCCGTCGCAAACAGATCGTTTCACAATATCAAAGTTTGTTTTCCATTTCTCTAGATTTTTATTTTTATCTTTATTCTCACTAAAACATGGTCTGATTGAATAGAACATCTTTATATATCTTTACGTAATAATTTAAAATTATCTTCTATCGATAAAAATTGTCAAAAAGCAACGAATAGTATTTATGAAGAAAAGAACTTTAGAAAATAAATTTTTATCAGTTGATGATTTAAATGAAGACGAAGAAGAAGATGATGCATTACGTGAAGAATTAGATATGCATTTAGTTATTGTTTCAATAAATAATTTTATTTATAAATCGTTTCTAACTGCTAAACAAGTTATAAATGAAATTGATTTCATGTTAGAATATATGATACCTGATTTAGGTAATTGTGATGATTTACTTCCGTTACGTATGATTAATATAAAAGCTCAAAGCATTTATTCATTAAATGGATTAAATGAAGAATTAAATAAATTGTTTAAAGATTTATCAAATCTATTGGTACAAGAATTAGCTATTCAAGATGAACTTGAAGATGAAAAAGAGATGAAAAAATACATTTATTTCACGAATGCATATTAGTCAAGTAAAAGATTCAGATTTTTTTTATAGAAAAATCCTTTTTTTAGAATAAATGCCGATATTATCAAAATATAAAAATGTCGTTTATTACTTGAAAATAACAATTCTTTTGAACTAGGAACGCTAAATATTCTCATTGAAAAAACATTTGTTATATAAGCAAACGCGATCAATGTGCATTGGGAATTCTGCTTTCCTAAAGAGAGATGAAATGCATTCTACGAATATTTATTAATATATAAATGAACTGTTAAATAAACTTTTTCTTTCATCTTTCTATATGATTGTCTAGCGTATTTGGTAATTAGATTAGAATAGATAGAAGATGGGAAAAAACAAGAAGTCATGTTGAATGAAAAAAATGTTTTAATTATCGAACAATTCTGCCTCATCAGAAATAAAAGAAAAAAGACTTTATTTGCATAAGATGAGAGAGTTTTATCTTCATTTGTTCTGGTCTATGGATAGAATGTTGTAAGAAAATATTTGTATCAAATCATCATATTTTCTATCAATGTAAACATTAACAGTTTAAAAGTCTATCTTGTTGGTTAGATAAACAACGTATGACAGATTTTGATTTCAATAGATGTACAGAGTTTTATTTCTTAATAAGAAAATGGGTATTGATGCATCGAAATAGTGAAGAACCAAAAAAGCGTCCAAAAAGTCTTGTTTTGAGTACAGGAAGTAAAACAGTGATTTCTATCTAAATCTGATGCAATATGGCTGATCGACCTCGGCTTGGTCTTTCCGATCATGGCTTACCGAGTTCTGTTTCCAATAACAATATGAGACCAAATTGTTGACGTTTAGATAGTTTTCAACAGATAGTAGGACTTTCTGCGACTATCATAATTAACTTTCTTCTTTACGATAATTACTTATTCATCTATGATGAAAAAAATAATGAAGATTTAAAAAATCAAATACAAAAGTATGATGAAGTGATTACAACTATACATACGTATATGAAATACAGATCCACACACACTCTCACATCTTTGAAACAAGTTTTGATTTTTAATCGTTATTTTCAATAATACTGATTTCATAAAAAGGACAAATGAGACTTTAAAAAGGATGAATTTCAGTCAATGTTGATGTGCAACAGCAGTTAAAATAAACATTGGTTGGACTGGGTTGGTGTGGATGTTGATGAAGAGATGACTAACACTCACACCCACTCTCTCATCAAATTACAAAATCAGTAGAATCTTTTGTTGTCTGATGTTAAATGACGTTGACTCTTTCAAATGTACCACATAATCTAAAATATAGCAAAACAATAAAAAAAATTCGTTCAACCATAATTATTATTTTGGTAAACATGTTAAATATGCAGTTAATTCTATATATTCTTATTACTTATGTTGAAAGGTATTTCAGTACAGGTCATGTAATTATTCTATCAATACAATCATTGTCTTAATTCCAAATCATCTTGAGGGTGATATGATTCAAAAAAACAGGCAGACATATACATTTTCTATATTTTCTTTTTTGCTACGCTTTTCTTTTCATTTACGATAGACATAAAAATACGACAACATTGCGATCAAAAAACGAGATCGTCTAAAATTTCACAAAATTAGGCAAATGTGACTTTTTTCGTCAGATGAGTTCATATTATTAGAAAGAGAAAGAAAATATTCTTTTCTCCTTCATTAAAAATGAGTATATTCGAGGTTCATGTATGTTGTCAGTATGTGCATGTCTCTATTGATATTTGTTTTAAATATTATCATTGATACACTAAACAGGAGAGAAGGTAGTTTCTTATTCTTTTTGTGCAAATAAATTGTAACTATATATCAGAGATCTACTATTCGTTTAGATAATTTTTTTCCAGCATGTTTCTTTTTTCGCATTTTCACTAAAAATGGCGTAAAAAAATTAATTTTGAAATAAAAGTTCGTCTTGCTTAATAGACAGAAGACAATTTGTAAGCTTCGTATTCGATATGAATGACATATCTCAGTATTTCCTAAAGTGTTCCAAAATAAAGACGACTTTTTTATTTGAAAATTCTTAACAAATAGAATATTTAATGCGAATAGAAAAACAAATCGATTTATTTTTAAAATTTTTTTTAATATATTCTTTACTTATGTAAGTATTCTTTTCTTTTATAAAAGAAATAATAATTCTTATTGTAATTATAATTTCTATGAGAAACTAATATCGTGTAAGAAAATGATTAGTTGTATGATTAATGAGGAATATTTTTATTACTATGTTGTTTATCGAACGATTTTAAACTCATTAACAATTTTTCAAATATTCTATTAAAATATTTTGACTGATTGCTTTGAAAGAAATAGATTATATTACTAATATTGATATTCTACAGATTTTATCATCTATTTTGTATTTCTTGAAAGGTAGAAGAACAGAATTATCATTCAAAGAATTTCGTTTGTTGCTAAAAGATGAATAAATCAAAATGAAATATATCTCGTATAAGTTTACTAGATATTTAACTTTTGAAAGAAGTAAATATATGATTCATTTCTTAATTAGATACGTCATAGTTTTAGTTTAGCTTGTGAATTTTAATGAGGTTGCATTAATTTGCATTGAAATTGTTGATCAACTCATATGAAGCGACATGAACGTATTCAAATTCATAATTGTTCATGATTTAACTATCAACAGCAGTGTTGAAAAATTCAAATTACTGATTGATTAGTTGTGTTTATTTTAGACTTTCATACACTTATTCTCAATACATTGAATCTGTAAAATAGAAAAATAAAGACTGTCGATAATTGTTATGATTTCACTATTTCATAGTAAAATACTATCTTATTTTGCACAATTTATATAGAAAGTTAGATTGAATAGAATTGCACTGATGTTGTATTCGTAGAAAGATATTTGAAGAGAAAAAAAAGCTATTTTCAAAGAGAATTTGTATGAAATCATATTCTGAATTTTTCCCAAAGAAATTACCAAATGAAGTTCTTATTATTATATTTTCTTATTTATCATGGTTCGAAATGTTAACTTTTTTGGTCATTAAATAATCACATAAATAATCTTATTTGTTCAATTATTTCAATAAATGATAATCGAAAAAATAATGGTATTATTATTAAAAACTCAGGTTTATCTTAGAACAAATATTAGTTAAGATTATTACCATTTCTTAATCATTCATCATTATTATCATTTTGTTCTGGCATTTGACGTATCTGTGTTGATGGAAAAAAATCAATGGCGTGTGATATTAATTATGAATGGATTTTTTTTCAAAATAATAATAAAAAAATGCTTCGTTTTTCTTTTCTTAAATCACTTATTCTCACGCGATGTTGGCTATCTCAACCATTAATTCAAATTTTATCTTTACTTATTGAACATCAATTAGATGAACTTACTTTAATATTCGATAAGGATGTGTTCAATGCTCTTCGATATGAAGTACCAATTGTGAATAGAAAAGATAACAAAAGTAATTACGAATTCTTTTAATTGATTTATAAAAGAGAGAAAACATAGAATAAAAGCTAATATACGAAAGATATCTGATCAAGTAAAATTAGACAAGTTCGATGAAAATCTAATAATTATAGAATTAGATTATATGTATGTTGTACTATTGTACAAAATTATATGATAATATCTACTTGAAAGAGAAAGGGCAAAGTTTTAGTTGGCTGTATTTGGAATGAAAAATTTCTATACCAAACTCAGACTTATTTCATGATGTTAAACTTATTTAATTAATGTTGTATAAATATATAGAGGTATATAAAAATGGAAGAATAAAAGAGAAAGTATGTGTCCATCGAAGATATAGTTATGCATAACTGTATAGTGATGTATAGTAGTAAAGGATGTACAATAGAAACAAGGTAATAATTAATCATATGTATTTAGATTACAATGAATTAGTTAAATCAGGTACAATAATATAATGAAGTAGGAAAAAAAAATTTCTAAAAGAAACAAGACTACATTTATAAGTGTAAATATGACGAAGTAAACATTAGAATACAGGTGTAAATATATAGTCCTACTGAGAATATAGGCGCAAAAAACTATGTCTACGAATGTAGATCTGTGGATATAGATATAAAGATATTGCTGTAAGGATACAGACATCAACATCAAAAAGAATTTAGTAAACTAAAAATTTGTATTTTCTCAGTAACGATTATTTCTTTCTATTGATAAATTATAGAAAAACTACTGAACATGTTCAAACATTTTCTACGTCAATTATTCTCATCTCAATGTCAATTAAATTCTCTTCAACGTAATATTGATAGTTATGATATTGATCAGTATATAAAACTATTCTCTCATTCATATCAAAATCGAATTTCAAATCAATTTCAGTCTTACTGCACGACACTTTCTCATTTATCTATTCACATAAAATAGACATATTTTTTTGAACAGCTGTCAGTAGAATTTAACAAAACATTAAATATTCAACCGCGGTCTGTATCATTAATCGAAAAATGATGTCAATCAAATGGAAATTGGTATTATAAAGTAAGAAAAAAAAGTATTATTGTCTCGTTCTTTGGATAAAAAGTCTGGGTGAAAGATGAACTATCATGTATCACCAGTTTTCTAATGAGATGTTTATTTCATTGATTATTTTATTGTAGAGCGTCTTTTTTTTGAAGTTAAAAATATTCGATTACAGTTTATTCCCTTTAAATATTAAAAATAAAGTTAGAAATATTTTGAAAATTTCCTAGTTAACTACTTATTTGAATTGTTTACGCATAGAAAATACGATTATCTTGAGTTTTCTTAGTTAGAAATAATTTTTTTAAAAACCTATTCGAACTTTTATTTGACGAGAAAATAGATTTCTTCATAAATCCTATATTTTGCTTAACCTAAACTCATATCATAATTTAGAATTAATGAAAAAATTTATCAAAAAAAAAAGGTGAATTTTGTCTTGATAGAATGAAAAATTTGAAGACAGGACATAGAAAATCGTTTTGAAAAAATCTTAACCAGATAAAGAGACA